CTAACATTAAGGCTTGGATGGTTAACAACAAACTACAGCTAAATGATGGTAAAATAGAGATATTGCCAATCCGTTCAAAATTTGACCTATCTCCAAACCCCTTGCATGTTATCAACATTGGATCAACACTTGTTAAACCGGTTAAAGCAGCTCGCAACATTGGTGTCATCTTCGATGATTCACTTCAGTTCAGTAAACACATCATCAGTACATGCCAAAGAATATACATGCATATCAGATGCATAGGACTCATTCGCCAACATCTATCTGAGCATACCTGTCTTAAACTCATTTACTCTATTATAACCGCTAAACTGGATTACGGCAATGCCTTACTATATGGCTTACCAAAATAACAGATACACATGCTTCAGAGGGCTCAAAACTGTGCTGCCCGTCTAATTACACGTACCACAAAATTTGATCATATCACTCCTGTTCTTTGTAAATTACATTGGCTGCCAGTTCACTATAGGATACACTTCAAAATTTTACTACTCACGTACAAGTACCGACCTTATTCACAAAAATCAAAACCAGAGAACCCTTCGCTCAAGTAAGAAACATACACTTACCATACCTCGACCATAAGCAAGAGGGGAGACACACGTAATAGTTTAATTGAGCTTAGGACTTTTCTCGCCAGTTACTAAGCATGAAGCTATGGCAATATGTATGTTTTCAGAAAGCTGAAATATAGTAGAATACGATCATGTATGCTTTATGTTAATATTTGCTCAGGGGATTAGATTATGATCGTTCATGTGAACCTCTTATATATAGAGAGTTTTTTTGAAGGATTGGTCGTTTCTCTGTTTTCCTTTTTTCTATGTTTCTGATTTTCATGGACTAAATTTAGTGAATGTCCCCGAGTTCTTGTGGCAGTAACTCAATGTCAACGACTCACATAAACGTCCATGAGACATCATATTTTAGACCATTTTGTGGCGAATAGATTGTGCAATTTATACATCGTTAGCGTTAAGAAAAGTATTAAAAGAAGACAATTTGGATAAATACATGTAGCTAATTAATTACCAAATGTCTACCATTTCGATCATACTTTATAAATATACAAGTATCTGATCTGTGAGGACTATTATATCATGAACAATTGGTTGGTTGTTTCTTAAAAAGTTACAAAACTAAAAGCTAACTCGAACAAGATGGTGTACCGCGCAATTATTTTAATCAAGGCCCTTTGTTGAACAGCCTCAACAGTGCAATTGGTTCTCCAAACACAGGGCAGCCATCATGACAGCATATATTTACTTACGGGATATACATGCCTTCAAGTACAGATATGTTTGCATTACTCTCAGCCTATGGAGAGTGTACCGTTATCGGGTTTGTTATAATCAATTAGTCAGCACTGTTTTTTTCTCTTGATGAAAATCAAAATGTGGCGTTGGCCATACTCATAGAGAACCATGATGTTGAAGTGTGGTTCCAGATAGAGGAGGCAGTATTTCCATGTTACTACTAAGTTTACACATTGCGTGACGACGCTTTCCAATGCTACGAGCTGCGATCACCAGCTTACAGTTTACATCTAAAGAATGTCAACTCTTTTTCAACGCCAAAAAAATGTAAGTCGTGGAGTTGCATTTTGGATTCATACACTTATAAATAAAGATGACTCCTCCAGCCATAGCGGATGTTCGTGTTTTATGCCAAAACGACATTCCCTCTTTTACATTAATGACACATCAATATATATACAGCGTCTGTATCCAGGATTTCTATCTCCTCCTCGTCTGAACTGTCGGTGTCACTGTGACAATCACTCAGGAAAATTTGTGCGCAGAACTTTTGTTATAACTGTCAATAAGCTCATCTTCAAACCACTCTGTGGGCTGACTATAATATGAGCCCAGGTCACTTTCATTTAGATGTCTATTAACCGCATCGAATATTTTTCGGCGGCCAGGTTTTTTTCATTTTAGAATTCCTTTCCATGACATATGCCATAAAACACACAGAGAAAAGCTTAATGTTTGTCTGTGTTTCCATTGCGATCATATAACGGACACTACAGGGGGGGGGGGTCGTATGTGAGGGTGCTGTTCAAAAGGGTGCTACAAAACTATTGCTAAACTACTGTTCTACATAACTCTGAAAATATCTACATTATGATGGTAACAATCAAAACAGTAGCACGAGGTAATGTTTGCATCGCCATATTTAAAGTGGTCTGACATGACCTACACCGGAAGACCACAATATGGCCTCGGGGGAAACAGCTAGTCACGTGATTTCACGCATGCATTCAGCACTGAATAAATAAAAATGCATACTAATTAGGCAACATTGCCAACGGCTTGAGCAATCTTGAGCAATAATACCAATAGTATGGTACATTACCCATCTACAATATATGAGAAACTTGTTCATTGCAACATCGCCATAAACAAGAAAAGTGCCAAGTCTCGTCACAATGCCCGCCATAATCGGCGATTATTCGTACCGGGGAAAGTGAGTTAACAAACACAGGCCTGTAAATTTTTTACATTTGCAACATTTATTAAGCATTTAATATAAAGCAGAACATGTTTTTGCCAGTATTAACAACTTTACTGGCCGAAATTTATGTATTTTTCTACCTGATGAATTATTCATGTATATTAATAACGTCGGGAAAGGACCAATTACGTCATGCGACACCCCCCTGGGACACTATTTATAGAATAAACAGGATATAATAAAGCTGGATGGTCAACAAATCTGTCACTTAACACGATATGTAAATGTATGGAGGATATGTTTACCTACAACTGAATTTGTAAAAATAAACTGAAATTATGCACCAAAGGCATCGCAGACAGTAAATTTGGACCAAAGATAAAGAAAGTACACAATATAATGTTTCATAATCTGAAATGTTTTGAAATTTTTTTTTTTTAGTTTTTCCCCTCTCGCTACCTAAATTCAGCTGAGAAAAGTGGATTTCCAGTGGAAAAAGATAATTTTCCAGTGTGTTCGCAGAGTAAATATGACCATGACATAGTTTTTCAACTCCCAAAATACCCACAAAAAAATGAAAATATTACGATATAGCCAAAGATAATTTACATGTTTGTTATTCTTGCAGAGGCTGAGTACGAGTTGGTTGAAAGATGATGGCAGTCCTATTTCTGGGGAATTTTTACATTGCAATTTGGAAACAGCAGTTTACTGTAACTCTGCATGTTCGGAACATTCAAAATCTGTCCTATCTTCCGGTTCATTGATCTAAGGTCACAAAACATGCACAAGCACAAATATTTTTTTTAATATTTTTAATATTTTTTTTATTAGACGCATAAAATCCTTAGGAAAGGATAAAAAGGGTCTTACAGAAAGAAATTAAAACAAACTACAATCTAAAAAATAAAACAAAAAATAAAAACTTTTCTAAAAAAATAAAACAAATCAAAAACAATAAAGACAATTTGCAGCCAATGGTGAATACAGAATATAGAATGAACACAAAATGTTGCCTAATACACTGATAGTTGTTGCTGTTTTGTTCCATAGCTGTTTTTTAGGAAGACTGCTAAGGCTGGTGCTAGAGTATGGTTTGCCATAATCAAAATGAATTTATTCTATTTTCTTTATCAAAATTTGGAACTTTATTTTGTACAGTCAGGAATAATTTGTCCCTATGGTGACTGTAAGCTGGACATTTCATTACAAAATGTTGCTCATCCTCAACTATATTTTGGCTGCACATATCACATGTTCTTTTATCCAGCGGCACATTATTATGTCTGCCTTTCTCAATTTTAAGGTCATGGTTGCTTGTCCTGAATTTTGCAATTAACCTTCTAAGACCATGGTTCTGCATATTAATTAGGTAATTTTCAATTTTTAAATCTTGTTTGAAAAGTCTGTATGTTCTTAGTTTGTTTTTAGCCAAGGTTTGTTTTCTATTATCATTATGCATGTCTAAGATCCATTGGTTCTCAAATGATTTGTTTATTTTTTTATGAATAAAGTCTAAATTTTTCTTAATTATTTTTTCACTTGAGTTTACAATGGTGACAACATCTATATCTTGCATCTATATCTATACCGGTATCTTCAACAAATGATGAACGCGCAAATGCATTCAATTCAGGAACCAAGAAGTTGCATCACCTTTGTGTTTCCAAAGGAAAAAAACTTTGAGGTAAAAAAACAACCAATTTTTGCTCAATCTTCTATGATTTTTTGATAAAATCATTATTTCAGTCTAGCAGTTAGATGAGAGATACCCAGGGAACCAAGTTTGGGATGAAAATCACTTCAGCAATGAAAAATGAGTGACAGACTGCATTTCAAAAACAAGTATATTATATAATAAATAGCGAAAATCACGAAAACCATTTATACATTCACATGATATTGTATTTGTTTTGCGGTAACCTAGTTTTCACGATAACCAATTACCTTCTATGGAGCAACTGTGCTCAACTTTGGAAATGTACACATTTTCATTTCTCACAACAGACCAATTAAAGTTTGTGAATCACGAAAATATGGATTTTACTCCTAATATTTTTTTTATAATACCGGTAATGCACATCGACTCGGACCGCAATAGCAGCAATTTTGGTATATTTTCGTTATAATTTAGACTTTGGCCACTATAATTTCACAATGAGATCGACATACCAATCTGATTACGATTTTATGTGTTTTTGTTTTAGAACCTCAAATTAGTAGGCAAATTCATAATCATGCATCACTAATGGCGTGAATCATTCTACCAACCAAACGCGCCTTGTCCAGAATAGTCCCGACAAAACTGTCCCATTCACATTGAAAACAATGCGGCACGATTGTTCAAAATCAAAAACACAGGGAACTTACCTTAGTGGCCATTTTGAATGGGCGCCTCTTACGGTGACACAAATTTTGATAGGTATGTCAAGGGTCAACTGATTGCTTTTTGCCAATGAAAACAAAAACATTCGACTGAATCCCGACTTGGTCGCATTGTTTTCTCTTCTCATTTTGAGTTTTTGCATTTTTGATTTTTCAGCTTGATACTTTTTCTTGCGTTGATGTTTTCATTGTTTGTTTCTGCGCGACTTTTTCCACCTATTTCATAATTTCACTGTATGCCCACTTTCACATTTGGGAGTTGGGATATTTACGTCAGGCAAGCAGACGATTATGATTTCAGAGGGTCGGCAAGGGGTTTTTTCGTAAGCTGTAATCAATTGTTTTTATTTTCGTAATAATGTAATTTGAATAAACAAAAAACGTAATTTCGTCTTCTAGTTCCTTTCAATTGGTGATTCCACGAACACCTCAAAAATGACCACGTATTTTTTTTTTGTACCAAACAGGGAAAGATATTTTCAAAAAATAGAAAATAATTGATATCGTCACAAGATGAAAAAAATTACAGAGATACCTATATACCCACCAAGTTTTAAATCAATTGAGCTGGTAGTTTTCAAGACGTCGTCGAAAGTAGCTGTTTTGACCAAAATACAATACTAGTATTTATACAAAATCTGAGAGAGATCCACCAAAGGTACTTGTATACTAAACAACAAACACTAAGACTACTGGTTTCCAAGAAGATGAAAGTGCAATTGTTAATCGATGACAGCGGAGCTAAAAAGTTAAAAAATGTTAGTATTCTAGTCGCAAATAAAAATAATTAATGGTTATTTTGTCAATAAAATAATGTAATCAAACAATACAGCAACGTATTCGACATGTTTCCCATTGCTGCGTAAATAGTGTTTGGCTGGTTTGTACATTCAATATTATTTTATCAAATTGACTTACAACAGACCATGATTATCCTTTTTTTGCCATGTATAGTATATTTCTGTTATTTTATCTTTAAACACATTGTTTTTGGCACCAGACAAGTCTGTCACTATACATGTAATACTTATTTTAATAACTTGCTTCTACATCTGCTAAAGTAATGTACCATTTACGTTCGAAGTAAACAGGACATTCCCAAATATTTTAACAATGACATGTAGGAAATAATATCTAATATCAATACTCGACAAGCATTGTTCTTAGTAGAATACCGGGAAGTATATCACATCGGAACTAATATCGCACGTTGTTTCGTTCATGCGCGTCACACACATACCCAGAAGATTCGTGGCAGCAGAAGAATTGTCGCAATGAAATGCATGCAAGAAAACTGAAATGCGTGTAATGCATGTGCTGAGAATAATCATGGTGGACAACAGTAATTCATTAAGTGCGGTTGAACGGGTTGAACAGAGGATTATTCAATGTGTGTCTGAGATTAATAATAATAATAATTTCATTTATTACACCATAATGAAAGTTAACAAATCATTTTAGGCTGTTATGTAACAAATTTAAAAAAAAAAACAGTAACAAAAATAGAAGTTAAAGAAAATTAAGATAAATGCAGTTAAAAATGGCAAATTAGCCTGAGATAGTGTGGTGATATACAATTATGTATGATAAGTACATGTCTATGTGTCATGTTTCTTGAAACAAAGTTTTAAGTATTTAGTCACATGCTTGATTAATTTATGTTCTTTTGTATTAATAACAGTTTTGAATTTGTTTATATTGTTTTCTGATTGAAAAGTGGAGAGTACATTTGTGAATTCTGTAAAGAGTATTTCTCTTTCAGTATTATAAAAATCACACCTTGTTACAAAATGTATTTCATCTTCAATTTTTGATGGAGTGCATTTTTTACAGATTCTTTTTTCTGCTGGTATTTTGGCCTTTTATGTCTGCCAACTTCAATGTGAAGTTTATGGCAGCTCAATCTCAAGTGTGACATGATGTCTTCTCTATTATGTAATAAATGCAGATAGTGTGACGTACTGATATCATTTTTAAGGAGGCTGTATGTTCTAAGCTTAGAATCTGTTCTCTTAATATCGCTAATCCATGAATCTGTGTAGTGGTTCTTAGTTTTCTCTAAGAATGACTTTTTTGATATGGTAATAGGATTTATATTGTAAATGTCCCTAATTTTGTGTATGCCTTCAATCCATGAGTCTTTATAACAATGTTGTTCAAGTTCCCTAACTGCATGGTATGTGTAACTGATAGACCATTGTTCCTAATACTTTGGTAATATTTCAACAGATTGTAGCTGTATTTTTGAGATTAATGGTAATCTCCCGAGTTCAAGTCTACAACCAATTGTGCTTGTTCTATTGTTAACATTTAGAATGTGTCTACAGTATTTTATGTGGTATTTTTCAGTTTCAGTTTTGTCCCACTTGTCTGGTTTAATTGTTATTCCCAAATTTCAGATGCATAGAGAAGTATTGGCAGTTGGACTGTTTCAAATAGTTTTGTCTTAATCTTAATGTTGTTTGTATTGTTCTTGTAAATGTTTGCTAGCATATACTCTGTTTTCCTTGCTTTATCCGAGAGTCTGTCCACGGTGTTGATTAAGGAGCCATTTGAGCTAAAAGTTCGTAGTGTTACCATATCTGAATGATGATACATCTGTTTTGTGGTTGTTTTTTGAGAATATTAGAATTTTTGATTTCATCGTGTTCACTTCCAGTCCCTATTTATTGGTGTATTTATAAAGGTTGTCAAGTGATGACTGCAGACCAGTCTTCGATGTTGAGGTGAGTACAATATCGTCGGCAAATAGTAGGCTTGATATTGGTTGGTTGTCAAGTTCCGGCTGATCAACTGCAGTGACATTTAACAATTCGACCTTGTCATTGATAAAAATGCTAAAAAATGCTGGACTGAGTGGGCATCCTTGCTTAACTCCATTATCAGTCTTGAAGGTTGGTGTAATTTTGTCTTTCAGTTTTACATGGAAAATAATGTTGCTGTACATGCTTTTAATTATCTTGTATATATGGCCGTTAATGTTGTTCCTTTGTAATTTGTATAGCAGACCAGTTCTTCACACTGTATCAAAGCATTTTTTCAGGTCGATGAAGCAGAAATAACAGGTTTTTATTCTTTGATTGGTATTTTTTTACCAT